CTCCTCTTCTTTACTAGTAACTGGTTTTCTACTTGTATCTCTATAGTCTTTTTCTTAAGGTGGTTAAGTTCAGACTCATAAACCTGTGTCCACCCTCTCTGTGTTTCATACCCTTCTTGTTGTAATGGAACACATCCTCCGACATTTTCCTGAGAAAAGGTGTGTGTTTGGGGTGTTTTGTTTTTTGTTTTAGATCTTGAATGTCTAAATGTGCTCCTTTCCTACCTTTTCTCTTAGTTGGTAGATTGGCTGCGTATAGAATTCTAAGTTGAAAGTTATTTTCCTTCAGAATTTTGAATGTTTTGCTACTGAGAATTTCAAACCATTTTGATTTTTGTTCCTTTGCATGAAACTCATTTCTTACCTCTGGAAGCTATAGAATGTTCTCTCTGCACTTAGGTTTCTGAAATTTCACCATGCTGTGCCTTGATGTGAGTCAGTTTTACCCATTGTGCCAGCACTCCATGAGTCTTTCAATCTGAAAACTCATGTCATTCAGGCCTGGGGAATTTCTCAAATTATAGCATTAAAGATGTCTTCTCCGTTTCATCTGCTCTGTCTTTCTAGGAAACTCATTATTCAGGGGTAAGATCATCTGAACTGAAACTCCAATGTTCCTAACCTTTCTCTTTCTCTCTCTCTCTCTTTTAACTCCTTGTCTTTGTGGTTTATTTCAACCCATCTTTTTCTTTTAATGTCTACTACCATTCTGAAAAATGTCCAAGGACTCTTTTGTGATTCCTTGAATATTCATTTTTTTCTTTTTCTTTTTTTTTAATCCTCACCTGAGGACATTTTTCCATTTTTTGTTCAGGTAGAATAGGAGGGAGAGAGAGGAACAGAGAAAGAGAGAGAAACATCGACGTGAAAGGGACACATCGAGTGGCAGCCACCCACACGACCAACCAGGGCTGGGGACAAACTGCAACTGAGGTACGTGCCCTTAGCGGGAACCGAACCTGGGTCTCTCTGGACCGCAGGCTGACGCTCTAACTGCTGAGCCAAACTGGCCAGGGCGAATATTCATTTTTTTATAACACCTTTTTCCTGTTCTATAAATGCAATATTGTCTGCTAAGAAAATTAGTAATTGTTTTGTTTAGCTTTGTTTTGGTTTCTCCTCCCTATATAGACTCTTTCCTCCACTTTGCTTTTTTCTGTTTGGTTAGTTGGCTGATTTTTAACTATCATGTTAGAAGCTTTCCCCAGATGTCTTGAAATCCTGATTCTCTGGTCATATTTAAAAGCAAGAGATTAGCCCGACCAGTGTGGCTCAAGTGGTTCAATTCCCGGTCAGGGCACATGTCCAGGTTGTGGGCCTGATCCCCAGTGGGGAGCATGTAGGAGGTGGCCAATCAATGGTCTCTCTCATTGATGTTTCTCTCTCTCTCTCAAATCAATAAAGAAAAGAAATTGAAAAAAAAAATAAAAGCGGCTGCCATCAACAAATCATCAAACAAGTGTTGGCGAGCGTGTGGAGAAAAGGAGACTCTAGTCCTAGGGGACTCTAGTCCTAGGACATACAAATGGCCAAGAGACATATGAAGAAATGCTCAACATCACTAATCATCAGAGAGATGCAAATTAAAACAACAATGAGGTGTCACCTCACACCTGTCAGAATGGCCGCCATCAACAAATCATCAAACAACAAGTGTTGGCGAGGTTGTGGGGAAAAGGGGACTCTAGTGCACTGCTGGTGGGAATGCAGACTGGTGCAACCACTATGGAAAACAATGTGGTGTTACCTCAAAAAATTAAAAATTGAACTTCCATTTGACCCAGTGATCCCGCTTCTAGGAATATACCCTAAGAAGCCTGAAACACCAATCAGAAAGAATATATGTACCCCCATGTTCATAGCAGCACTATTTACAATAGCTAAGATCTGGAAACAGCCCAAGTGTCCATCAGTAGACGAATGGATAAAAAAGCAGTGGTACATATACACAATGGAGTACTATGCAGCTGTAAGAAAGAAAGATCTCTTATCCTTTGAGACGACATGGAGGGACCTGGAAAGTATTATCCTAAGTGAAACAAGCCAAGCAGAAAAAGACAAATACCACATGATCTCACTTATATGTGGAATATAATGAATATAACAGTCTGAGGAATAGGGTAGACCCAGAAACACAGAAGTAGGGTACAGACTGACAACCCTCAGAAGAGGGGGTGGTGGGGGGTGGAAAGAGATAAACCACAGAACTTATATGCATGTTTGCATAACCAATGGACATGGACAACAAAGCCGGGGACGGGGTGTGGGGGAGATGGGGAGGAGGGTGTTAATGGGGTAAAAAAGGAGAAACATCTATAACAAAAATAAAATTAAAAATAAATAAATAAATAAAAGCAAGAGATTAAAACACTGTTAGTGGGCTTTATCTGGTCAGCCTGCTGATGGGGATTAATGTCTGTATCTTTAAGTCTTTCCCTTTGGGCTGGTCTGTTTCCCCAGAACAAGACTCTTTCCATCACCAGTATGGATGGTAAAGCCCCTTCTGTTGCCTTCTGGAAGACAAATTGGGGACCAAGGGGCTGGGGAGCTCAGCATTCAGAATCCATATGTTCCCTTTATCTACCTATTTTTCTGAATGTTTCCGAGGCCTTCGGTGAGCTCATGCACTCCTCGGCCCAGCCCCCTCGGTTTTAACCTCTCCAGAAAACACCGTTTCAGACTTCCACTGGGCGAAGGAGGGAAGCCGCCCGGCCCCGAGAGATGGAGGACAGTTTCCAAGGATCTTACTATTGAACGTCGAAAACAGCTTTCTCCCAGGCTTCCTTGTTTTAGCCCCTGACATCCTCGATTTTCTTGTGCTGCCAGTTCCCGAGTTGTTTTTTAAGAATTCCCTGTAAAATTGTGCTGTTTCTCATTTTTCTCCACTCCTGGCTTAGGTTTCTGCTGTCTCCAGACTCCTAAGACAATGACCACTTGTCCATTTGCTTTCCAGATTCCTAGAGGATTTTGCTGTTGTCTTCTCGCTGTTCTTGTCATAGCTGAGGGCTTATGCCTTTAAAAAAAAAAAATCCATTTTGTAGCTCTGTAGGATTCCTGGAGGGATCAATATTAAATGGGACTGTCTGTGTTAAAACTCACCCTTCAATCTGTCACTTTTCTCTGGCAATAGATCATATACCTACCTGGATTTTTTTCCTGTTAAGAAATAATCTTTTCAGCCCTGGCCGGTTTGGCTCAGTGGTTAGAGCGTTGGCCTGCGGTCCAGAGAGACCCGGGTTCAGTTCCCGCTGAGGGCGCGTACCTCGGTTGCAGTTTGTCCCTGGCCCTGGTTGGGTCGTGTGGGAGGCGGCCACTGGATGTGTCCCTTTCATGTCGATGTTTCTCTCTCTCTCTCTCTTCCTCTCTCCCTCCCATTCTATCTGAACAAAACATGAAAAAAATGTCCTTGGGTGAGGATAAAAAATAAATTTTAAAAAAAAAAAAAAAAAGAAAAGAAATAATCTTTTCAAATTGACTCCTTCCATTCAGCCATGTTTGTGAAGACGAAACTTTCCCATACCTTGGCACTGCTTTGCTCACACTCCACTCCAGGAACCAAGACGCTGCCTCAAGACACCCTGACGCGACCGCGTAGCTGGGTTGTCAGTCATGCCCAGGGAGCTGAGGCCTCCCTACCTTTCTCATCTCTTTCTCTTTGCTGCCGGTGTCTGGGACTGTCACTAATCCTTCACATCTGACAGTTATGTCATTTACAGAAAGTTCGTTTCACTCCCTCGGGGAGGCCAGTTAAGCAAACTTTGGAGAAATGAAATAACTTGTTTAAGTTTAGACTTGTCAAGCAATATTCCCAATATTTTCAATTCAACACTCTATATTATTATTTACTGTTGTTATTATTATTACTACTACTATTATGTGGGGAACAATAGTATTCTGGATACTAGAAAAGGATTCTGGGATATAGATGCCTCTTTAGAATCAGGAAAACAGACAAAATTTGCTTTCACTCTCCTGGTCAGCATCAACATTTTTAAAAGATGTTAGATTTTCTCAAGATTTCCTTCTCTTGATGAACTTGCCCTCAATTCCATGGGGAGAACCAAGCACCTCCCAACTTTTTTTCACCTTCCTCCTTTTCTCTAGGACTCAGTTTCCCTATCTATCTGCCTGATGGGAAATGTGGACTAGAAGACACACTCTGCGGTCCCCTCCAGCTCACAGTCCAGTCCCTGAGTGGGGTCATGTCCCAGCCTGGACTTCTCTGTCTCCTTCAGGGACTGTGTGCTCCCTGGGAGCAGAGTTTGCTTTATTTTCATCATTGAAGACATAGAGAAGAAAGGGGGAGGGGGGGTCCTGGGAGATGATTTCTCACCCTTGTTCACAAAAGGCCTCATGCACTCAGTCACTCACTCAATCATTCTTCAAAAACCTAACAAAGCAACTCCGTTTGTGGAAAACCCATTCCGTGCCGTCAAATGCTGCCTCTGTATTGCTCACTGGCCCAGAGGCCTTGGGCAGGCTGCGTAACCCAGCAAGTCTGTTCCATCTGCACTGTTAGAAATACTGCAGGCAAAGTGCCTGGAGTAGGCTGTAGGCTCGCAACGGGGGCAACCTCTTTGAAGTCTAGTGCGCCTCCGCGCAAGTGAGCAGAGAGAGCACCGAGGAGGAGGCCAGGGCTTGGGTGATCCACAAACATTCTCGTGCAAAATGGGGAACACAGTGGTCTCCTTCTGGACAGCCAAAGGAAGGCAGACTGGCATCCACCAATCGCGACCACCGCGCCTTTACACAAAAAGACATGATCACTCTCAGCCTTATAAAGGAGGACTAGCCCCGGGAAGGTGGTGACAAGTGCCAAGATCCTGGGCGGGAGAGGCGGGTTCTGAAGCAGGAAGGGGAGGAGGGGACAGGGGAGGGGACAGGTCCGGCCAGCTCGAGCTCCCGCGGCGCAGGGCGGAACCCGGGCCGGCCCGCCTGCGCGCAGGTGAGAGAGCCGGGGCGGAGCGCAGCGCTGCGGGTGCCAGGCTTCAGCGCCCGCGTCAGCCACCCCGGACCACGGGCCACAGTCGCTTTTCCCGCCGAGGCCGAGGCGCCCCAGAGCCATGGCCGGCCTGAACTGCGGGGTCACACTCACACTGCTGGGGGTCCTGCTGCTGGGAGCGACGCGCCCGCGGGAAGCAGGTCAGTGCGGGGCTGCGAGTGCGCGCGGCGCCGAGTGGGCTCCGTGGTCGGCGAGCGGGCGCCAGGCGGGAGGGGTACGGAGGAGCGCCGGCGCGGAGGGGAGGTGCAGAGTGCAGCGGGGCAGAGCCGTCGGGGTGCACAGACGGCGCGGGGTCCCCGCGATCGTCCGCCGCTGGGGCGCGCCGCGTCGGGCGCAGTGGCGGAGCCCTCCTCGATTCCGAGTGACCTCGCCCAGGGCGCAGGCCGCGGCACGTGGGAATGTCCCGGAGCCGGGAGCCCCGCGATCGGGGCATGCGCTCGACGCCCATCGAGAAAAGAAAGAAGAGTGCGTGGGGGCCGAGCCCAGGGACCTGCCCGATGGCGCGCCCCGCGCTGCGGGCCTTCCCCCGGGTTATCGGAGCGCCCGGGCCGGCAGGGCGTGGGGAAGGAGCTTTCCTCTCCCGGCCGCTTCCACGGCCTCGCCGGGCCCAGGGAGAGGTGCACGGAAACTGGGTTTTGGTGTTCGGAGAACCCCCCGGATCACCTCTTTCCTGGCCGCATGTTCCATTCTCGTTTCCCCGAAACTGAGGAACAGTAACAGAAAACGAGGGCGCCTCGTAGAAGGGCCGCGGCGGCGCCGGTTCCCCCGCCCCCAGCCCCGGAGGAGGTGGCCTGGGGCCTCGGAAAGGGTCCGCGGAGGCGTGCGGTCGGGGGAGGGGCCGCCACTTCCCAGCTGCGCCCCGCGGGCCGGACCCCCTCATACCCTGGTTTCTCGGAAGAACTTGACTCCAGGCCTTTCCTGAGGCCAGCACGGGTTTGGGGTTTTGCCAAGAGCTGTCCAGGAAGCGATTTGGGTCTTTGATGACCCCCTTCGCTGCACCTAAAGGGGCGCTGGTATTCGCCAGGCAGATACAGTAAATTAAGGCACAAAGCTGAGCCCAGGAGATGAACCTGGGCGTGTCGGCAGCCGCCGTCATTGTGATTCCGAGACTGGAACACTTCCTGGTTCCTTTCTGCCCAGGAGATGAGCGTTTTAAGACCCCATTTAAACTGTTGTGGGCATATTTACCGTAACGTAAGACTGAATCCTCCACATTGTCTTCGAAGAAAAAAAATCAGTTTGAGAATAAAGAGTAAACTAAATATATGAATGTTCCTTAATAGAGTGATTACAGAGCAAAAACATAAAAGGAATTTAGCGAATTAAAATGCATGTGAATGTGTGTGAGAAAAATGTGTCGGCCGCACCTGGGAACTGTTTGCGATGTTCCCGCAGCCTCTGCGCACAGGTGCAGCTCCCCAGGTACGAATGTGGTGGTGATCGAGGCCTTACTAATGACAGCCTGCCCTGAGCTTCTCCATGTAGCCTGGGAGGCTGCCCTTTGGTCTTCGGTGGCCCCAGTGGAGTTCCTCCTTCCAGGAGGTTCTCGACTGTGGGAACCGTGTCAGGTGGTTCCGTGTGCAAATACCAGGAGCCTAGGAACTTTCTCATTTCACATTCCTAAGTCCTTGCTGTGGTCCCAGGACCTGGCCCTGTGAGGCCACACGGCAGACTGACTGAGGGCTCTGCCTTCCTGGTCGGAGCTGGCCTAGTGCACCTGCTGTGCCTGAAGTGGGTTGGTCTAACCCAGGGGGGCCTTTGAGAAGTTACCAGGGTCAGTCCTGAACGGAAGAGACAGCGAGAGCCTGGCACGCTTAACAAGGGCTTGGCGGAGTGAAAGGCTAGTTTGCCTCTCCTCCGTGTGGTGTGAGCGTGAGTTTGGTGTTCCCACCAGCTCCCCAGGGCCAAGGGTGAAGGACTGGGTGAGGAGGAATTTGACCTTGTTAACACCTCAACTTAGTGGCTTTCCAGGAACACCCAGGCACCAGAGTCTGGGTCAGTGACCCCATTTTGCCACATGTGCAGACTCCAAATGATGTGGTCCCTCCCCCTGGGTGTGTGTTCATCATTCTTCACATTCACCTTCGGAGCTGCCGGCTGCTGTCTGGAGTGTGTAACTGGCAGGACTGATGAGTCCCCCTCTCCCGCCACCCCCGCAGGTTTGCATGACTTGGAGTCAGATGCTGCCGTTTCATGTGTGATGACTGTACCCTGCCCCACCCCTCACTCTTCTAGGGATTCTTCCAGGTTTCCTTGAGTGGACCTGCTAGTCACTTCGCTCTCCGTCCTCAGTCATTCTCAGTCATGTCCCTGTGTGGAGAGGCGCAGAGATGTGAAGTAACTTGCCCAGGGTTACCCAGCTGGCATGCTGTGATGTGGAGGTGGCAGCCCAGGGAGTCTGACACCAGTGCGCTGTGTCCCTTTGCACGGTGGGGCTCCTGAAGACAGCGTTGGCGGGTCTTAGAGGTAGTGTCTGCACTCCAGATATTTTCTTCTATTGAAAACTAAACAAAAAATGTACTGAGTGCAGTGTTCGTATTTGTTCTAGGGATGTGTATGTGTTTTTTAATATTCAGACAATTTAAAAACTGTGTTTAGAAAAAGAATTACCTGTACATGGTGCCAAAAATTCAAATAGTGCCCTGACCGGTTTTGCTCAGTGGTTAGAGCGTCAACCCGCTGACCAGAGAGTCCCAGGTTCGGTTCCCGCTAAGGGCATGTACCTCGGTTGAGGTTCGTCCCCGGCCTCTGTTGGGGTTGTGCGATGTGTCTCTCTCACATCAATATTTCTCCCTCTCCCTCTTCCTCCCTCTCTCCCTCCCGCTCTGTCTGAAGATGGATACAAAAATGTCCTCAGGTGAGGATAAAAAAAGAAAATTCAAATAGTACAAAACAGTATGTGGGATAAAAGTGTAGCCCTGGCCGGTGCACTGGAAGGTTGCCCGTTTGATTCCTGATCACAGACCTAGGTTGCAGGCTTGATCCCCGGTAAGGGGTGTGCAAGAGGCAGCTGTTTGATGTTCCACTCTTACAACTGTGTTTTTTTCTCTCTCCCTCGCTCTCCCTCCCTCTCTAAAAATCAATTTAAAAAACAAAAGTGTGTCCCCTTCAACCTCTGAGCGCAGGCTCCCCCCACAGAGGGTCCTGTGGTTTCTGGTGCACTGTTTCTGAGCTATTCTGCACACGTAGGTGTTCATAAACACCTCCCCTCTTTATGCACACAGCAGCATAATTATAGTACACAGAAAGTGTCCCACATGCCTCTTGATTTTTTCACGTAGCAATCCATCTTGGTGCTCACCCCGTATCAGAACATATGGAGCAGTCACGTTCTTTTTGACAGCCGTGTAATATTCTTTGTTGTGGGAATGCCATGTTATATTTCAGCAGCTCCTTATTGATGGGTTGTTTGCAGTCTGTTGCTACCAAAAACCTTGCCTCAGTGACCATCTTTGCAATTGACTGTTGGGTATATGAACACTTTTTCGGCTAGGGGGAATTCCTGGAGGAGGAATTCCCAGTCAGAGGGTTTACACGGAAAGTTCCAAAGAGAAGTGGTAGAAAGTGACAACAGAATGAAGCAACTTGCCCCAGGTCACCACTGATGTGTGGTGGTGCCGTCTGTCAATCCTTGCAGAGTGCTGGCTCCTAACCACCCCACACTGCGGTTCACTGCTGCCTTTACTCTTTCCCGGTGAAACCATAAGCCTGAGGAAGGGAAACGTTTTGAATTTCCTGTCAAGTATTTACTTTTGGTTAAGTCATTCGAATGCCACCAGCACTAAGTATCAAGAAGACCAAGGACGGGCGTGGGCTCAGGTAGCGCCTCCTGTTGACATTGATGAGTGAATAGTTCTTACTCACTTTCGACATTGATGAGTCTAATAGTTAAGCTGTAACACATTTTACGCTGCTGTAACACACAAGCCCAAATGTGTATGATGGTGAGTCAAACACAACAGATGTTTACTTCTTGCTCAGATAAGACTGCAAACAGGATCTCCTCCAAGGAGGGATCTAGGCTCCTTCCACTTTCTTGTTTGACCACCTTCAACATGTGGCTTCCATGTTTGTCAGCATCTAATTCATTCCCTGTTCATCTCTGCCTCGCCCCAGAACCTGGGGTCTTCGCTGCGTGGAACATACCCGTGAGTCCCTGCTGGTCCCTTTAAATGTGTGTCCAGGAGGGAGGGGAAGGTGGGTGGGTTTGCAGGAATGCAGACCCACCCCTGGCTAGTTTCAAGGGAGTAACGAAGACCACCACGGAGAAGGACTTGTGAACAGTGAAAGCCGCAGGGGGTGAAGTGTGTGAAGTGTGTGTACTGTACAGTGTATGTTACAAACTATTGTATGTAACAATAGTCCTGTTATTGTTACCAGAAAGGGAAGCTGGCCTGAACGGTGTGCTTAGGGCCAGCGGTAGTGTGTGGGTTCTTGGTTTCAAGCATAATGTAAGTCCGGGTGGGTTTTACAGGGTGTTTCTTAGAGCTGAGGACAGTGAAACAAGAGGGGCTGGGAAAGGAGCCCGGGCTGGGCTGCTTGGCTCACTGAGAGAGCAGAGAAAAGGGGGCCTTGGGGACAGGTTCCGGGGTTTGCCCAGGGTGAACTACTACCGCCCATTGCTGTCCTGGTTGCAAGTCTCGTGGGGTCCCTTAGACTTTAGGGGGTGCATGGCTGTGAGGAAAGAAAAGAGGGAGGGGGGGAATGACGTGGGTGTGCGCTGGGTTCTGGATCCTAAAAGTTTTCCCAGGGTGTAGAACTTAGAGGAGGTCTCAGGGAGGGTCTCAGCAGAATATCCATCAGCCTCCCAGGAGGGCCTTTCAGGGCCTGGTCTCCAGTCGGTCGGTGCCAGGGCAGGATTCAGTAACCAGTGCAGCCGGCCCTGAGGTCAGCCTTGTCTCCTGGAGCTGAAATACCGCTGAGGCCTCGATGTTATCTCTAGGCTGGTGACCTTCTGTCTGGCTGTTAATTGCTCGGCCAGTTTGTTCAGCTGTCTGTCTCAGTTTCCCCTTTCCCCTTCCACTTGCCAAGGAATTCTCCTAGCTTCCTACTCACCTGCTTCATTCTCTTGCTGTCTATCTGTCTGGATCTCACGTGCGCTCAGGAACAAAGACTGGAAGGAATCAGTTACGCTGGGTGT